AAGGACTGAAAATGGTCATATAATCTGTCCAGGTTTTAGTTCTTTAAGTCCGGGAGGGAAATACCTGTCACTACTAAATTTTTAAAGGAGAAATGTGGCTTGATGTTTAAAATTATGATTAGTCATGAAAGTTTCATTTTACTTCTAACCAACGCATACTTCATATGCTATCTAAACTTGCTGAAGCATCCAGTGTCTGCGTCCTCTGGGTACCCTGTTCCAGACTTAAAGATTCAGGCTGCAGTGCTTTCTTTGGTCACAAGATGACCTTTACATTTTTCTTCTTTTTTTTTCTTTTAGAAATAATTTTATTGGGGGCTCATATAACTCATCACAATCCATACATAGATCCATTCTGTCAAGCACAATTGTGCAGTTGTTGCCATCATCATTCTCAAAACATTTTCTTTCTACTTGATCCCTAGGTATCAGCTCCTCATTTTTCCCCTCCCTCACGAACCCTTGATAATTTATAAATTATTATCATTTTGTCATGTCTTACAGTGTCTCCCTTCACCAACTTTTCTGTTGTCTGTCCCCCAGGGAGGGGGGTATATGTAGATGATTGTGATCGGTTTCCCTTTTCTCCCCCATCTTTCACTTCCCCTCCTGGTGTTGCTACTCTCATTATTGGTCCTGAGGGGTTTATCTGTCCTGGATTCCCTGTGTTTCTAGTTCCTATCTGTACCAGTGTGTATCCTCTGGTCTAGCAGGATTTGTAAGGTAGAATTGTGATCATGATAGTGGGGCGGAAGAAGCATTAAAGAACTAGAGGAAAGTTGTACCTTTCATTGTTGCTATACTGCATCCTGACTGGCTTGTCTCCGCTCCGTGACCTTCCTGTAAGGGGATGTCCAGTTGCCTACAGATTTCTTTCAATGGGCTTGGGTGAAAAAAAAAATCAAATAAAAAGGTAACTGTAACAATTCAAAAATGTATGCTCAGTGTTTGATAAATACCATTAAATTAATATTTATTTTGATTAGATTTTCATTCATTCATTCATTCACCAAATATCTATTTTTGCAGGGGTGGGGAACATCCTGCCTGGGAGCTGTATAAGGCCAGTGAAATCATTAATAACATCTAACCTCACATGCCTCACCAAAGAGAAACAGTTCCAGCCATCATAATGTGATGAGTGTGTTAGGGGTTATTTAATGAAATATTTTACCAGCATGGCCTGTGAATGATATTATAAATATTCAAATGGATCTTGAATTTTATTGAATGTGCCAAAGTCCAATGCTCAATCCCTGTCCACATTCCCATTTGTTTCTTGGACATCCTTTATCTTTGAAAAGAGCCACTTCTTGGTGAAGAAAGCTGATGGTGCCCGGCTATCAAATGATATAGCTTCTGGGGTCTTAAAGGCTTGAAGACAATCAGGCAGCCATCTAGCTAAGAACCAACAAAGCCCACATGGAAGAAGCACACCAGCCTACCCTGACACGATCGCTGAAGACAAAGTGGGTGCATAGGCAAATGCAGTGAAGAAAGCTGATGGTGCCCAGCTGTCAAAATATATAGAATCTGGGGTCCTATATGCTGGAAATAAACAAGGGGCCATCTAACTGAGAAACAACAAAGCCCACATGGAAGAAAGCACACTAGCCTGTGAGATGACAAGGCGTTGAAGGGATCAGGTATCAGGCATCAAAAACCAAAAAAGAAAAAAACAATCATAGCGTTGTGAATGAGGGGGAGTGCGGAGTGGGGACCCAGGGCCCATCTGTGGGAAATTGGACATCCCCTTGCAGAAGGGCTGCAGGGAGGAGATGAGCCAGTCAGAGTGCAGTGTAGCAATGATGAAATATACAATGTTCCTCTAGTTCTTGAATGTTTCCTCCCACCGCCCTCCACTATCATGATCCCAATTCTACCTTACATATCTGGCTGGACCAGAGGAGGTACACTGGCACAGATAGGAGCTGGAAATACAGTGAACCCAGGACAGATGAACCCCTCAGGACCAGTGGAGAGAGTGGTGATATCAGGAGGGTGGAGGAAAGGTGAGGGAGAAAGGGGGAACAGATGACAAGGTCTACATATGCCCTTCTCCGTGGGGGACGGACAGCAGAGAAGTGGGTGAGGGAGACATCGGATGGTGTAAGATATGTTAAAATAATGATAATTTATAAATTATCAAGGGTTCACGGGGACGGGGGTGTGGGGAGGGAGAGGAAAAAAGTGAGAAGCTGATACCAAGGGCTCAAGTAGAAAGCAGGTGTTTTGAGAATGATGAAGTCAACATATGTACTAATGTGCTGGACACAATTGATGTATGTATGGATTGTGAAAAGAGTTGTATGAGCCCTTAATAAAATGATTTAAAAAATAAACGAGGAAAAAAAAAAGAATCACTGACCCCAACCGTGCAAAAAAAAAAAAAAGAAAAAAGAAAAGAGCCACTTCTGCCACAGGGCTAATGCACACTCTTTAAACTCTCTGCCTGTTATTTATCAGAAATTTAGACATTTTGGGGAGCAATTAGTCTGTCCCTTTCGTGGAGAATGGTCACACTGAGGGTGAAAAGGAGACCCAACATGTAACACATAGGAATGGCATAAATGGGCAAATTTGGCAGGACCTTTGCTATGAGTGCTCTCTCCCCATCAAAGGACTCTCATGTCCCTCATTATCTTCTGCCCATTATTTACTATTTATTTTGTTTCCTGAGCATTGTACACAGACAGCCACCCTCCGGTACTTCTTCATATCCACTCTCTTGAGAGCCAAAAGGAAGTTGACTAGTCTCTAGAGAGTGGAACCCTCAACCCATTTTCTTCTGAAGTTGACAGGGAAACTTGGATCTGCCTTGACACAGGATAGGCAAACATTTTCCTGGGTATATGTGTCTAGTCTTCTAGCATGGATATGCTTAGGGGAATATGAACTTCCCGGTTCCTTTTCGTGAGGAAACTGCTGAACAGCCTTAGGTCACTGAAGCCAGAATGTTCCTCTTTTCCATGGAAGCTGGACTAGGAAGTCTGCTTTTCACTTTTCCTGCCTTTCAACTCTGGCCTTTCCCTTTATACACTCTTGTTTTGCACAAATTTGCCTTGTGCCTCAATCATATGGCGGGAGGAGGACTTTGGCATTTTTAGACACTAGCTTCATGATGTTTGAGGGTTGCTGTGCTAGATAATATATTTTCACCTGCCTTTTTCTTTCTAACATTTCCCCCTGTTGATTTCAAAAAGGTTATTGCACTGTTAGATTCTAGAATGGATATTGGCCTTTTTTTTTTCCTGTAAAGATCCAGAGAGTAAATATTTTAGTTTTTTTAGGGGAGTTACACAATCTCTGTCAGAACTACTTACCTATATTGTGTAAAAACAGCTACAGACAATATAAATAAGCATGGCTGGGTTTAAACAAACACCTATATTTATGGTCATGTGCCACAAATTATTCCCTTGATGTACAGCCATTTAAAAATGTAAAAACCATTATTAGCTTGTAGATTTAAAAACAAAATAGTGGGCCAGATTTGACACTTGGGATACTTTTGCCAACCCATTCTGGATATTCTTCTTAAGTTTCCTTACACAAACAATTGTCTTAATGCATGTTTTCATTTCACCTGATTAGCACAGTCAGGGCAAGTTTGTTTTCCAAGTTCTGAGAATCCACTGACATTATTTCAGACATTTAACTCAGTACATTGTTACTGTTAGATGCCATCATATTGATTTTCAATTCATTGCAACCCTATGTGACAGAGCAGAACAGCCCTAACCCTTTAGGTTGGAATTTGTACAGGAAGGATCTCTGGTGGGTTATATGTTGGGTTGCTAGGTCAGCAGTTATAATCTACTAGCTGCTCTGAATCTAGGGTTATGGGGTCACTGAGTCAGAATTGACTTGTTTCTGAGATTATAACTCTTTACGGGAGAAGAAAGCCTGGTCTTTCTCCTATGGAGTGGCTGGTGGTTTAGAACTGTGGACCTTGTAGTTAGCAGCCCAACTCGTAGCCACCATTCCACCAGGGCTTCTAGTTGAGCACTGGGGCTCCTTTACTTCAACTGAGGATAGACACATTCTGCACATTCATAGTTTTCACGTGGAGGTTGCCTGGTAGGAGGGACTGCCTCAGACTCAAAGTGATCTGTGTACCCTCACACATCTCATGATGTTGACCTGGGGAGGTTTCCTGAGAGAATTCACCTTAAGGAAAATCAGATAAAGATGTTTTTCTGTAACACTAAATATGAGGAAGGGACTGAACCCCACCTTTGTAGAGTTTCGGTTCAATCTACTGTGGGCTCTAGAACAGGAGTCAACAAACTTTTGAGATGGAGGGGCCAATCCTGTCCCTCACAATTTAAAAATTATTCATACAAGAGCCCTATATGTATTATTACTCAAAAATGAAGTCACCGTGATCTAAGTAATACCCTTAATTTTTTTCAAGTTTACTTCAGAACCACATATACATAAAGCCACGGTTTGCCGACACATTCTAGAGGAATCATGGGTCTTTCTTTTGAGAATTCTCAAACATTTGCAGTGGTGGCAGTAGGCATAGGGAGTAAGCCCCAGAACACAGAGCAAGACCCAGACAGAACATGGGGATGGAGCATAGCAACAGGGTAATGGAAAGTTTCTCTTTCCGTCCCTTGAATTTATGGTTCTAGGGAAGACCTCACTTTGGGAGCTTCCTACAATAACTGAAGGGACTAACTCAAGAACTGAGTCATACATGTAATGTTGGGAGCAAACACTGACATGAAATCTATTTGGTGTACACGGCGACTCTTGGAGAGGATTGTTAACCTCATTTACTAATAGGATCTTGAAAGAAATGTGTCTCTTATCAAGTTTATACTTATCAATGCACTCTAGAGGTAAGTTAAAATTGAGGTTCTGTCCTCATTTCTAAACTCACATTGTTTTCAGGAGATGCCAAGGTCGTGGATTAAGTCATATGCATTTAGTTTTGAAATAAGAGAACATGTACACAATAGAAAAATAAGCCACAAAGAAATGCACCGGAATACTTTATTCTTACACCATTTATATGTAAAAAATAATAATGTAAAATTTGAAATAAAAAAGAAAAGAGATTTCTTCATTAAATTGCTTTATGAACCTTACAATATATAATGAGCATGTTTCTAGGCAATAGATAAAACTCCCTTTCTGATGGAAATTTACAGAGACTGGGTCAAAAACACAACATTCAGTAAGAAGCTGGTAATAGAGGACCCATCAGAAACAGGTCATATCAAAAGGTATATAATAAAGGTACTGTGCACACATGTAAGTTTAGGAAGCAGGGATCTCCCTGTTAATTGCAGGGCACACATCAGGATTCAGGGCATAAGGCAAAAGTCAACATGGTGGTCACGCTGAGGGGGTTTAGTGCTCACTGCACGAAGACCGTGACTCCATTGCTTGCCCCTCGTGTTTTCTATCAGCAATCTCACCTCCGCCCCAATCCTGCCAAAATTCTCCTCCCTCATCCTTGCCTGCCGCTCTCCAAGCCTCTGAATCATGTCCCATCGACACCGAGGCACACAGTATTCACCAGCTTCCAAAGGGAGTGCCAAGGCCTCTCCTTTATTAATATCTTGCTCCTTTCCGTCCTTTTCCTGGTGGGCATTTTCCATGTTGGGATTTTTTCCCGCTGGTGCCTCTTTGGACTCCATTCCTCCTAGGAGATAAAAGGCGAGATATGGGACCAAATACTTCCTGGAAAGATCAGCGCAGAAGGCTGAGCCCTTATTCCATACTTTTCACCATCTAGAGACCTGGATATTTAAACCAAAAGTCAACCCCCCTGCCATCACTTGATTCAAACCCATCGTAATCCTGTATAGTGTTTCCCAGACTGTACACTTTGGACAGGCGCAGATGCTTCCATGGAGCAGCTGGTGGGGTTTGAACCGCCAACCTTCGGGTTAGCAGCCCAACGCCCATCCTAAGGTTTTACAATGTCCATTTTCCGCCCCAAGCAACTAGGGCTACCTCTAGAGGATTCCAAGTCATCTCCCCTCTCTCCCCCAAGCCAAACATTTTTTCTTGCCTCTCCCTGCCAGGGCTCTGCAGGCACCAAAATGGAGGACAGGGGTCTCAAAGTGGGCACTGTCCATCCCCCACCCCCCTACCCCATACACTCCCCCTGTCCATCCCTCTTACCGACCTAGGCCTATCCTGGAAGTCTTCTCTTCCTGATCCTCACCACCAGGTGCACCTTCAGGACTCTCAGCTCTGCAGAGTGGGGAGGGGTTTCTGTGGAAAAACTATCTGGAGGAAGGGTCTGAGCAAGGTGCTACAGAAACCCGAGGGGGTGGGAGAGAGAGGCAAGTGTTTCCCAAAGCTTGCCTGTCGCCTCAGATCCACCCGCCTGCAGGGTGAGCCAGCCCCTTCCCCTGGAGAAACTTGCCCCACTGTGCCGCCACCCGGCCGGCTCAGGCGGCTCCCGGAGGGCCTTTGGGGCTTGCAGCCGCAGACTTTCTGCTGCTGCAGGCTCAGCGTCGCTCTGGGAGGATGCTCCGCCAGACGCGACCGCGCCCACCCAGCTTCAGGGACCCCTTTGGATTCCTTACCTGTTTCGCCTGCGCCTCACAGTCCTGGGTCGTCCAGAGCTTACGCGTTCTCTGGGCCGTCGGAAACTGAGGCAGAGACCAGACTCTGCAAGAATGCTCCGATTCAGCGGGGAGGTGCAAGCGAGTAGGTGCGCAGGCGAGTCACCTGATGCGCGTCGTGGCCTCCCGGCCCCGCCCCCTGCCTGGCCACGCCCGTGGGTCCCGGAGTCCGGCCCAGCCTGCAGCCCAACCCCTTCTTGCCCCCACATCCCTGAACCTCTTTACCCTCAGGGCCTATCATTCTCTCCCCTTTGGGAGCATAGCTCTGGGCCTTTCCCTGCTTGCCTGTTTGGGCCTTTGCTCTAGGGGTTATTGGCCATTTCTGCTGCTTCTCTGTGATCTGGTTTCTCCTATGCTCCCAGCTAAGGATTCCTCGTGGTGCAGTGGGTTATACAATGGGCTGCTAACAGCAGGGTGAGGAACTCAAACCCACCAGCTGCTCCCTGGAAGAAAGATGAGGTTTTCTGAATCTGTAAAAATTTATAAGCTTTAAAACTCCAAAGGGGGCAGTTTTACTCTGTCTTACTGAGTTTTGGTTCCCCTCTTAACTCCCCTGTTTTGTCGGCTATCCTCTCTACTGCCAATGCTCACCATTTTCCTGCCACTAATATGCCTGGAAGAGGTGCGTTAGGGAAAGAGTCCCCAGAAGAGTGGATTCCCACCCCCAATTCTTATTACCTTTCTTGTTTTGCTCCTTTTAAAATTCAACAACAATTAACATACATTTTTTAAAAACAAGGAACAACGGACATCATTTTAATTGAAAAAGAGCATTAAAGTTGGAGGGGGGGGGGTGATAAGAATGACCACCTGTCCCTTTGCCAAAGTCATTATATAAATATAGACTCTACAAGCAGCTGCACTCTTCAAACTTGGAAAAGGACAGGGCAGCTGAAGACTCCTCTTGT